TCTTGTATGTAGTCTGACTCCACCCTCTTGTAGTTTAAAACCATTGCCCCTTGTCCTGTTGCTAGAAGTCCTATTAAAAAGCGTGTCCTCATGTGTCCTGGGGTGACTGTGATGCTAAATTGTATCCCCATTTGTCTGCCTAGCCAAGAAATAGGTTTTGTAATTTGGTATTGTTCATTTTTGTGCTGGGTAATGTTTTACCTGTTAAATAAACAGGTTTTTTCCACTTCTCTTGGAGAAATCTCTTCCCAAACAGGTTGCAGGGGAAGGGGTCATGTGGGTTTTCTTCCTGAAGAGAGGCCCATTGGAGGTTTTCTCCCAGATTTGCCCTAAACCAGGACACCGTGTTTCTTTTAAGTTCCCTTTAGGTATTGAAAGGCTGCAACAAGGTCTTCTGAGAGCCTTCTCTTCTCCAGGCTGAACTGCTCCAACTTTCTCATCCTTTCCTCATAGGACAGGATGCTGTCCTATGACAGGGGTGGACATGCTCCACCCCTCTTGTCGTTTCTGTGAGCTTCCTCCTCTGGACCTGCTCCAACAGGTCCATCTTTTACATCATAATTCTTCCGCTTAAACCCAAATATCATTGTGCCATTTCTTCATACTCAGTGGTGCACTCAAATTTCTACTTTCTACTTTTTTTTTTCCCCTCCAAGTTACTCTAAGGGTATTATCCCTTTCCTGCCCCTTTTATGTGGTTCGACCTGTCCCTAGTCTCTTCTGCTGCTCATCACTTCCCTGTGTTCTTATCTGACCTTATGCTTCCAGGCTTTGTGAAACAGGATCAAACAATCTGACAAACCTGCAAGTGTTGAAGGAAGCTTAGCATGTGAATTTAAGGGCTAGTGTTTGTGTAAATAATGACCTGAATCGAATCCTAAACTGAAATCACCCTGGGTTTCTGATTCCGGACAGTTCAAGTCCTGCAATGGCAGCCGAGTGACTCAGGCCTGTCTGCACTGTATGACAGGTGCAAGGACAGATTAAATAGCAAGAGACCATGCAGGCACACGAGCATGCTACACTCCCTATTAATGGAAGTGGGTGCTTTGTGGATGAGACAAGCTGGGTGCACAGTGGTTGCAAATTCCAACAAGGAAGTCCTTTGGTACAGTGCCATTTGTCTCTGCCAAAAAAAACATGTAGGCCTAGTTGCAGACAGATTTCATAAAATGAAAATTGTAGCAGTGTTCACTGAAACTGAAAAGAGCCACCTGTGCTCCATGCTGCTACTTGGTCCAAGGTGCAGAGGCTGTTGGTGCCAGTGGCTCTTCCTGTGCCATTGCCAGCAGGCAGCTCTTAACACTGAGCTGCCCCACGGTTCATAGTGCAGGGCAAATCATGTGTTTGTCAACAACTGAGGCACAATGGATTTGGGAAAGAAAAGAACTGATGTTGAACTCTCCAGTGAGTAATAAAGTTGGGCTGTTTAAATCATGAAAAGTAAGGCTTTCTGAAGCTCTGGGATCCTTGGCTTTATTTTTAATCCAGGAATAAGAGAATTGTTTGGAGCTCATGTAGATGGAGACAGTCTCTAATTTATTGCCAAGACTTAGGCTTAGATGGGTATCATTTAAAAGATGTGGGCATATAGGAGAGAGAAATTTTACCTGGAAATGACTGCAGGCTCGTGATACTGAAGGTGTTACATAAACTATGATGAAAAAAAAAATTTACACGGCTGCTATATCCTTATTAAAACTGTCTAAAAGAAATGTCTGTGTGTTCCTGTTCATAACTGCTTTCAGCTTTATGATTGTCTGCACCCCAGATGTTTTTCATAGAGAAACTGTTTAAATTTTTCTCCCTCTATCCAGACGGGGCCAAAAAGTAATGGGGGAGCTCTTTGTCTTTTTTCTTCTATACCCTGCATCACCTTTCCTCCATTTTCCACTTTTTCAGACAGCTTGTAGAATATTGTGCCACGTGTTCTTAATAACAGAGCGGGCTCTTCCATAACCATTTGTTTAAACCTTCTGGTGCAGTTTCTTGATACCAGGTTTGTTGAAAAAATCCTACAGTTTCACTCCCTGGCTGGTGCAGAGCTGTATTTAGTGTACCTGGTGCTGGGGAAAAGTTAAACTGCCCTGGATTTCCATTTGGCTGCTGAGTCTGTCCCTAGCCAGGCACGAGTGGTCAAAGGGTACAAAGGCAGCCCAGAGCCCACACACTGAGGGAAAGAAACTGAAACAAGGGGAAGAATTTCATGGCTCACTGTTGCCACTGACCAGAGCAGCAGTATAAGACAGCTGTTGCAGAAGAATCTGGATTGTTCTTTTTCATCCCCATCTTTGAAACTGGGGAGGGTTTTTTTAGCACAAAGCAAAGAGATTTGTTACAACCAGCCTTCTCTTCCTGGCCCTTCGAAGAGCTCGCTCCAGCATTTACTCCAGGAGAAGGAAATGTTGCTGAAATCATAAGTGTATATTATATTAGCATAATATTGTATCAATAAGACTTTTGCTGCCTCCTTCACATTCTGCATTCTGGAAAGATTTTTAAACTAAGCATAAATGATTACTTATTAAAGAGAATCATATTCTCTGTATGTAAATATAATTTGATAAAAACATTTAGAATTCTTAGAGGAAAAAGTATTTTTAAAAAATACTGCAGCTGTAGAGTACATCTGCTTTTCCTCATACTGTGATCCATAATGACTCACTGGGTAACACTGAATGAAACAGTGCTAGACATATAAAGATAATTATGAATTTTCAAAGCTGTCAACAGCTTTTGAATTACTATTTGGCCTTATTGACAGGAGCTGGTCACTGGCTGGGCACTGTGCTGGTTGATATGATGATAGCTCTCAGATTTCAGGCATTTTAGAGAATAACTAAAGTGTGCCAATCATCCTGTGCAGACAAGCCCTTACATGTAAAAGTCACCAAATCATTATACAAAAAATGCTATGAAACACAAACTCAGGCCTGGAGGTGGGTTGGGGTAAGAAGGTTATCAAACCTGCCTCAGCACTGCCCTTGTCTGCAGGTGGAAGAGATATGTGGTGGTTATGAAGCCTTGGAAAACCCAGATGTTTTTACAGGGGAGATAATGGCCCCTAGCTATCAGTGTTTGGGAAAATTTGTACATGATTTTAGTGATTGATTTCTGCTGTACATGTCAGCACTGCTAACATTGTCATATTTATTCATGGGAGGGTTATGACAATCTCCTGGAGCAAACTTCAAACTGAGCCATAGGTACCTGTGACTGGGTCCTTTTAGCAGCATTTCTCCTGCTGAGCTTGATATATGAGCTGTAACTATTGTGACACTCACAGTGGAGAGCGTGAGACTCTTAAACCCCACAGGAGCTGCTTGAGACTGAGAGATGGAGGAGAACAGAGGGCTAGACTTGAGCAGTTTTTCACACAAGTTGCGTTGGACAGTGGAGTTAAAAGTTTTGAGGGAGATGAACCTGTTGTTTCATGACTGAGAATTTCTGAACTCCCAAGGATATTTCCACCAAAACCAGGGCTGATGTTCTCTCTGTTGGAAAGAAAAAGTAAATGGATGAAAACACCATCCCAATTCTTATTTGTACGTGTTTGCTGTGAATTCTGTGGGGCTATGGTGGTTGAAGCTAAAAAATGAAATTCCTTGAAGGTTTGATCACTTATTTCAGCCAGGCAATTCTTTTCTGGCTTAAAGCAAGTGATTTTGTTTTCAGTTTCTACAGGAGTAAAGCCTATCACTGTTAAATAAAAAACCAAAAACAAAGCATGTATTAAAAAATTATTTGACAGTAACATCCTCAAATGCTAAAGCTGGCAGTAATTTAACTGTAGTGTGGTTATGTTTTTGTAAGGGTTGCCTTGGAAGAAATTTTATGTTCCTAGATGGGACAAAAGACAATGACAAAAATGCAAATTAACATTGCAAACAGGAAAAAGCTGCAAGGCTTTATCTTGTCTTTTGAATCCATAGCATCTGAAGTTGTGAAAAGAGTATACAAATTGTTAACCTTACAAAGGTATACCCAACATCCCTGAATTTTCTGAGGAGAGATTGAAAGAAATAGTCCTGCTGTTCTGCACCACCAGGTTAAAAATGCATTCCCTTCACACTAGGCACAGTTTGCCCTGCCGATCTCCAATGCTGAGCATGCTGAATGGGGTATTTCATTGTTTAGTTGAGGGTTTCATCACTGTGAGCTGGATCCAGGCTTGATCTGATAGAACTGAGTGCTAACCCATCATCAACAGTGCTTTTTCTGTATTAAATAATTATAGTATAGTTCAGTATAGCATAGCAATGGCTTCTATGGGTATGTGTTTGGATTATACCAGATTCTTCAGGTGAAAACCATTACATTCATATTCAGTGAAGATGGAAAGGAAAGATACAAATGTATAAGTCATAAATATGTGGGTCTGGGAGTTGATGGCAAATAAGGAATATTTAATAGCATATTCTGTAGAACTGACACCTTGGCAATGCACTGTACCAGAGTTTCACCATGTCCTTCCAACAGAGGAAGACAGCTTGCTTTCAGGATTGTTTTTACAAATAACTGTAAGAAAAAATGCTAATAATTCCCCCTTTTTTATCATCCTGCTGAATTGAACTGCATATTACATGGTACTTTGTATATAAACAGAAATTTAGGAAATGGAAATTAATAATCAAGAGTTTTGTTCACCCTACAAACTTTAAGGAAGTCTGTGTGGACTGCTGGCTTACCAGTGATACCTTTTCCATCACAGACAAATCTGATTACTGCTTTTCTGACCCATCTGTAAACCAGAGATGATATTTCTTCCATTTTAGATACCTCCAAAGCTAAAACAACAAATATTTGTAATTTGCTTTGTGATTGTGGATCACATAATTTTCTGGCACTTGTCTGTTACATATGAGGAGTTACGTGAATCTCGATTTCCCAGACAGGATTTATCAAAGACTCAGGGCTAGGAAAAGGCAGCTTTCTGAAAAGTGTTTTATATATTTAACAATTGTATCCCTTCTAAATATTTCCTTGTGTTTTAACTTCAGGTTATTAACATCCTGCAGCAAGTCATCACTTCAGCCTAAAGATTTGTGGAAGAAATAAACTCTACATGAAAACTGAATGTAATTAAGTCTTACATTCAGGACCCTGATGAGTAATACACAGCGAGAAGTAGAAGATGGCAAATTTCACAGAGAATGTGACTGAGAAGTGCAATATTAATCATGATATCCACGAGACATTATCCCCTGTGGTGTACATATTTGTTTTTATATTAGGCTTGCCAGCTAACTGCCTGTCACTGTACTATGGGTATTTACAGATCAAAGCTAAAAATGAATTAGGTATCTACCTTTGCAATTTGACTATAGCGGACCTGCTGTACATATTTTCTTTGCCTTTTTGGCTTCAGTATGCTTTACAGCATGACAACTGGACCTATGACGAGCTGCTGTGCAAAGTTTGTGGCATCATCCTGTATGAGAATATCTACATCAGTGTGGGCTTCCTGTGCTGCATCTCCATCGATCGCTACCTGGCTGTAGTGCACCCCTTTCGGTTTCAGCGCTTTCGGACCATGAAGGCTGCTGCCATTGTGAGCATCATTATCTGGGCCAAAGAAATTATGACATGCTGCTTTGTCTTCACACACGGGGAGATCAGTATGGATGCTGAGAGCCACTTGGTGTGCTTTGAGCATTACCCCATCAAGAAATGGGAGCACAATGTCAATTACTACCGCTTCTCTGCTGGCTTCCTTTTCCCCTTCTTTCTGCTGGCCTTTTCCTACTGTGGGATTTTACGAGTTGTCCACAAGAGTCCCGGCACCCAAAAGAAGAAGAAAATCCAAATTAAAAGATTGGTTTCAAGCACTGTTTGCATATTTTTAGTCTGCTTTGGACCATACCACATCCTACTCGTGGTTCGTAGCTTGTTGGAGAACAACTGCTCATTTGCTGAGAAAATATTTAATGTTTACCATATTTCTCTCCTGTTAACTACTTTTAACTGTGTTGCTGACCCAGTGTTGTACTGTTTTTCCAGTGAAAGCACTTACCAGAACTTTGTCAAGATGAGAGACTCTTGTCTAACGTGTTTAGGCCATCAGAGTACTGAGACGAAGGAATCCTATCCACTGAACACTACTGAACCTCCCAACAGAACACAGCATGAGCAACAGCCAGGGTTATTACAAATACCTCTTGATGGTGCTGGAATGAAGGACTGCTTCACAACTGGTGTAGACAGCCTATAGCATTAATCAAAATTACCTTAATCCTACATCTGCAGCTATGGTCGTATTTATGTATCTGTCTGAATTATTCATGTATTACAACAGTGTGACCTCCCAAAAGCTTATGAGCAATGCTGCAGAGTGAAGTTGTTTCTGGAGGTGCTCGGACCCTGGAAATAGTGAGGAAAGTATGTGCTAGGTCATTTCAGTTATAATCACACATCTGTTGCTGTGCTACCACTTAAAACCTGCTTGTCTTGATGACTGCATTGACTGGAATAAGCCAATACTCATGGTGTGTAGTTCTGGTGAACTCATCTTTAGCTGCCTTCTGTTTGCCCCTGTAGCATCTAGAGCAAGGAATTCTCTTCAAACTGTTATCATCTGTTGAAAAGGTATGAGACAGGAAAAATTAAATGTCCCCATATATACTTTTAAAAAGAAAAAGCCCAACAAAACACTTCTGCAACATCTCTGTAACTCTCCGAAATAACAACTTCTGCCAGTTTCAAAGCCTGCAGAGACCATGCCAGAACCAGATTCCTAAAACAATCAGTCCATAGTGCGAGTTGTTATGGCAGAACATGCACAAAAGGCTCAGCACCTTTATTTGTTATTTGACTGTTGAATCTCAGACTGTTAAACCTCATCGTAAGGCTCCGAGAGAATTCTGGAAGTATGAGACTCTGGGCTCCAAGGGGTGTCAGTAACTTGGTTTGTTGACTTGGAAGAGAACAAGAGGTTGGTATTACCTGAGGATCTTTGATCCCATGTGCTTCTCTGAGTCACTGTGTTCAAGAATATTTATTACGGTATCAGATATGATGTATGAATGATCTGTGTCCTGGTTTAGACAGAAACAAAATATAGGAGTAAGTGGAGAATAATGGCTTTTAAAGACGTGGGAGTTGTGCTCCACAGTATTGTTCCTACCACCACCTCCTCTCTAGGTTTTTTTGGGTTTTTGTTGCGCTAATGAATCCTGTGTGATTCTTCTTTGTGATCTGCTCATCATACCTTCTTGTACCTGTAGCTGCTACACCATGAATATTGCCTTGTCTTTTCAATTCTCTCATTTCAGACCTTCCTCGAAACACCTCTGTCTCTCCAATCTGGAGCTGATAACTTTCAGCAGTATAATCAGTTTTGTTTCTTTGGTTTGCTTTTGAGTCAAAAGATCGTCTAAACACATGGTCTACTCCTGAATACGTCATAGTAACATATTGCTTGCCATCAGATTCCAAAAGGAATATATTCTAACAGTTTTCTGGAAACCACCTGGAGAACACAATATTAGATATAATTAGTGGATGTGTTTAATAAAGAATGTTTTTATAATTTTTTTAAAATATTTTTTCACACTATGCTTGAAATAACTATCTTTTAGCTTTGGTCCACAGTTTCTATTTGTGAGACTACAGATCCTCTCCTCCTTCCTCTTGCAGAAAGGATTCATGTCCCCAGTCCCAAGAGGGGATTAGGTTTGCTTATGTTAACATTTGGTTTGTTTAATTATTTTACATTCTTTATACTTTGACCACTCAGCTGGATTAATTACTTTACAGCTGCATTTTTTTCTCCTGACTATTAGCACAGTTTAGCTTTATTTTCTCCTAATCTTTCATCTCATCTGCTGTGTATTCCAAGAGGCTCATAAGGCAGGGACTCCCTCCTGACTGCTGTAGGGCTGAGCTTGTACATTGTTAAACATCGACTCCTCGGACCTGTCAGGCTGCAAGACCCACGTGGTTTGTTCTGGGATAAATATTTGTTGTCGTGTTTTTGCGTTGCTTCTTTACAGTTCCCCGTGCTGTTTGAACTAGACAACTGGAATGCAGAGCATGATGTACTACATAGAATTGTCATCTGAGGGATTAAGGCTCATCTTTGATGTGGTCAGCTTTGGTCAGCTGCTGCAGTTTAAAATCAGATGGAAACTTGTGTAACACAGCTCAGCATTCTGCTACAGTTCTCAGCACTTAACCTGCTAACCTGCAACAGAAAGGAGGGATTTTTTTCTTCTTTTCCAGTTTTTTTCCTTGAGGCCAACATTTTACCAATCCTTTCTGTACTGTAACTGTTTGGCTTAGGCTGCAGAACTGTAACCAATATAGCAGGAAGGTAACTCCCACTCAGAGCTTTTTCTTCCATCTCTGTCAAAACACATTCACTCAAGAGTCCTGCAACGGTTGCTAGAGGCCTGCTACACGTGCTATTGAAGTAAATGCTGTGCTTGGGAGTGCACACTAGAAGATATTTTAAGAGCATGCACTAGAGAAAAAGAGAAATAAATTATTAAATCTTGTATTTCTTTATGAAATCTGTCTGTTAAGACTTTGTTTTGGAAGAAAAAAGAGCAAAAGCTTACTAAATGAAAATTTTTGGACAAAAGTTAATGCTAGGAAATATACATTGCACCTGTTAGTGTAATATGTCAGTAGCACAGACAGAATAAAATCAGCTGCTTCTTTTAAGTTGATGCCAATTTCATTCTGTGCAGCAGTGAACATATGCCGTGCTGCGGGGTTACTGGCTTTGGCAAAAAGTTCAAGCATTCATATGAAATATTTTACTTAATACTTATCATTTGAAGAGTTTGAAGACTTCTAAAAGAGATATTTTCCAATTGTAAAACTTCCAAAATACTTTTCTAGATCATCCTTTCAGGAGGTTTTAGATAAAACAAATTTAAAAAAAAATGACTGACCTAGAAAATAAACACTGTTTTTTTTTGTGAACCTGAATGTATAGCAGAAGTCTGGCATTAAGATTTCTTTCTGTCATGTGTTCAGCTGTTGTATGTCTTTAAAGGCTCTGTATCCTCAGGGACTTCAGGAGGTTAATGTTCAAAATATGCTGGTGTCTGTGGTATGAAATTATTTTTCTCCTTCTGAAAAAGTTGTTTGTCTTGCATTGAAGAAGGGAAATAAGACTCACATGCCAGGAAGGAGAAGAAATATAAAGTGTTGCTCACTGCTGGAAGTCCAGCTGAAGGCAACTTCCATTCCATGACAGGTAAAGCACCAGTGCTCTAGAGATGGTGTCAAATGTACCCACCCCTCTCTGCTGCAAGGGCTGACAGCTGGCACAACTTCAGTCCTGACACTCACCTGGAGTTAAGGTAAAATCACAGCTTTAAATGACAAATGCTGGTTCACCATTTATTGTGTACTCTTTCAGTGTTAGTAATCCTATGGGATGGAATTTAATGTTACTTCACTTGGTCTTGTCAGGAGCTGAATTTCTACAACAGGAATTCATGTAAAAATTTATTGACATAATTTTATTTCATACTGAATGCAAAGTTTTATTCATATCTAATTATACTTCAATTTCTAATAATTTTAATAATTAGTTTTGTATTTAACTAATTTCTTTGTAACAACAGGATTACTCTGAAATGTCTATGACTTTTCTCTATTATCCATAAAGTGGCAAAATATATAAGTGGCAAATTACTAATATGACAGGGGTTAATAGCACAGCTGACCCTTTACACAGAACATCTGCAATGCTGCCTTTATTTTAATTAACTCAGTTAAAATTTTCTTCTTATCTCCTCACACTTCCACAAACTATCCCTCACCATAAGAACACAGTGCTAGAGGAGGTACAAGAGGTGTGCAGTGGAGCTCTCACAACTGTGACACTGCAGTTTTGTTTTGAATCTTACCTCTCTACTGTAGCTGTTCTCCTCACCACAAGTATTTTTAAATTCAAGTTGCTACGGGAGTTACTTCCTGTTGCAGTTATGAGGTTAGTAAAACAAGAATGGCAGTGCAATAATATCTCACTGTAATTTCATGCTTTCTTTGTAAAATCCAGATCACCTCTTATTATATAATATCATTTAATATTCATTTGCCATTATAAAATTACAGAAAAGTAAGGTAGACCAAGTGAATTATATCCTCTTGTTTCACAGAGATATTGCAAGGGTAACAATGAAAGGCTGTGCGTGGTCAAGACACCAGAGATGAAAAGTCATATTTTTCTGATCTTTTGCACCTTGTGAGAGCCTCAAGAATAAGGAAATGACATGGGAGCAACTCTTGATGCAGAAATATTTCAGGGCAGTCACTGCTGTGCTTCCTGCAGCAGCTTTTCAATCATAAGTGAATGGGTGTCATAGAAGGGCAGCCCATCCACTTCCATCTCTAGACTGGCAGTTTTGCCACTGCGGACCCCGAGCTGCACAAGTGTTTTCAGAAGCTTTTCTTCCTTGAAAAACAAAGAAACAGAGTATAATTAAAATTCTGAATCAGACAAGAGCAGTCATCAAGATTTTATTTTAGTTCTGGGAGAGACTGACCATATCCTCCATATTTATTTTGCCATCAACTTGCAAGTACTATCTTGTCCCAAAGATATGTTTAGCATCTGGAGCTCAGGGTGTGTCAGATGGTTTATAATCTTGACTGCTATTTAATCACTGAATATAATTTTTCTCCACACTGCTTCAAACAGACTATTAGTGTAGATTCAGAAACATCATTTTTTGCCCAGTTTCAAGTTCCTACATCGCTCAAATGAGAATCAGAGGAACCTCCACCTAAAGGATCTCAAAAATCCATCTGTGGTTTCCCCAGCAAGGCAGCTGGCTGCAGCTGCATTTTTATAGAAAAAGAACATAAGGGAAAGAGGATGCACCAGGAAAAAAGGTTACAGAGAGCATCTGGATGGGCTGCACATTCCCTTTCCTGCAGTTTTATGAGAGTTCTGGTTGCTTAGGGATGGAGTGGGGAGAAAACAACCTCGGACATTGTGCTTCCTTGGCATGCTCTGAACTAGCATATGCTTTGTTTAGAACTACAGCTATTTTATTGCTTAACTAATATAAGCAGATAACAAAGCATGTTCCAAGTTGAGCTGTAAAAGTACACAGAGGGAACAAAATCCTTCTTTGTGAGCTACGGGCCAGTTAGCATTGTGGGATGAAAAGTTGAGATCAAGTGAGCTCTGGAAAAACACAGGGAACAGTGCAATTTCAAGATTTTTTTTTTAAGTGGATTCATGTCTGGCATAAACTGCTCTGCTTTTCATTTGTCCTGAAATGTATACAGTAAAATTTCCTATTTTTTAGCATTTATTATAGTGAGAATTTATTCCTTGAATTCTTTTTATAAAAATCTGAGAAAAGCAAAAACCTGGTCACTTTTTAGCTTCCCCTATGCCAACCCTGTGATAGGTTATATAAGACCTTGAAATGCTCACCTATCTATCTTTTCCTCCCTTTCTTTACTAGGAATGCCCTTTCTGGTCTTTGTCTAATGTGTTATTTCCATTTCTATGGAAATTGCTACTGCAACAATCCTACCAGTGTCCTCCAAAGAGTTCTCTAGGTTTTAACACTTCTTGTTTGACATTACCACACAATAACCTCTAGCAAAGTCCTTCATCTTTATTTATTATTTCATGTTAAAATTTTTTTCATCATTCATTTGTAGGAACACGAATGATGAAAAAAATTATGTTAAAATATCTAATTTTCTCTTATCAAATCTTAGAACTTTTTCTAAGAACATTTCTAAACCACAAAGAATACAGTAGCTGTAGATCCCAATTGAGACACAATATGGTTGAATTTTACCTAATACAGTACATGGCCAAAATATAACCATTTCTGAATGAAGCAAAGCAAGCCCTGCAAGATCAATTCAGTTTAATTTTGTTACCTGCACTCTGAATGCACTTTCTAAAGATCTGTCTTTTATTTCCTGGTAAAACATCCTAATTCTTAGCTGCAACTAAATTAAATGTGGCTCTGGCTTTCTACTAAAGGAAAAATATGCATATTTAAATGGTGTCAGCAGTGACACAGCTATTTAAGGAAATTATCTGGATACATTAGTAGCATAAAATTTGCTACTTTATAATTTATAAAATCATAAATACACATCAGTTTAAATTGTATGAATGATCACATACATATATGCAAATATATACAGCCAATCTTTCTGCATGACAGAGGTTTCTCTTAGCACTGAGTGTATTTAAATGCAAAAGGGCTAAGGAGATCTCTCCTGTCACAAAAGAGACACCTAAATTGGTTACACAAAATATAACCTCTAATGTGAATGGTTTCTGCTACATATTTACATATTAGAGCTCTCTGAACTGCTTATATCAGGTAAAAAAGTTTGCTTGCTAAATACTACATAACTGATAAACCTGATATATATAGCCTGATAAACCATAGGCTGTCATCAAATGCTCATTTACATTTGTAATAAGCAAATACAATGTGTAGCATACTTCCTCAGCTGTACAGTGCTGCAATTGGACCACAGCTCTCTTTTTAGTAAATAATTATTTTGGGATTGGGGTAACTGGAAAAAAGAATCAAATTAATAGAAAAATATCTCTTTTGTTTGCTCTTTATTCAAGGGGGAAAACCTCTTTATGCACGACAAAGCTAATAAAGCACACTAAAAGCATGTCACACCATTATATATTTATAATTCATATTCTTATAGGTAATAATTTAAAAAAAAATACTATACAGTTAATATGCTGCCATTAAGAAAGAGCTCAGTAAAAGAAAAAGACACTTGCTATATTAACCTGTTTGTGAGATGCAGTGAAATGCAGAGTTGGATGTTGTAGGATGTTTAGCATTAGCTACATTTGGATATGTATGAATGAATTAATTTCATTACAGTCACTTTGGTGTAAAAGAACTATGAACATCTGAAAAACCAAGCCAATACCATACTCAAAGTATTAAGCAAAGATTGTTTAGGTCCAGTTGTTTCTTATTCCTGCAGTTCTCACCAAGGAAGAAATGCTTTGCAGCAGCTCTTCCCGAGATGTGTGTAAAGGCTCATCCATGAACTCAGAACAATCTTAGTTTGCTGTTCAGTGGGAAGGGAGAGCTCTGCAATTCTGGGCTTTGGCAGTGCAATCCTGACACTGCTGGAACACCAGTGTGCATGGACATAATGTTGGTGTTTCAGGGGAAGTGAAAATAAAGCACATTATAAGAAAGCTGTCTGGTGCTAAGGGACTCCTTCAAATGTCCTCTTTCCAATTACAATCACAAATATAAACATTGAGATGGATCTTTGTGGTGTTGCTCTTTATCTCACTAGGGTAATTATTGTAGCATTAAATGAAGCTGAATTTTGCAAAAAGTAGCCATATAAACATAAATGGTCTGATTTTTTTAAAAACTAATGGAGTATGTGAATACTAATGTATTCAATCTTCTGCACTGTTCACTGTTGTGTGATTTATAATTAAAGATATCATATTTTCTTGTCAGACATTTTGTCATTTTCTCTCCTCCACAAAACTGTTTCCATTAATTTTACCTCAATAGATTTTAGAATTGCACTTTCAGTAGCCCATTATTGGATCATTAATGTTCCCATCTGTATAGCTTAGTAAAACAAAAGCAAGAAAGTTTTCCTGTACACAGTATAACACTTAATTACAGTATCTCATTACCAGGAATTTTGATCATAGTCATTTTAGGATGCATTAATTTAAAGGTCAAAAACCAGGAGATGCAACTGGAAAAAACACTGAAAAGGAAAAGAATTAATCTGTTTTATAAAAAGACTGATGAAAAGGGCCATGAAAGTTTTGTTAAGCTATATGGCTACACCAAGTGTTGTGATCAGTTTCGGTTTTATGACCTTTGGATGAAAAACTAAGATAGGAAAAAAAAATAAAAAATAGTGAGATCTGCTCTAAAATACTTAAAAGGTGCTTTGTTGGAATTTCATGCAGAATGTCCTGTCATCTCAGGAGAAAAACTTTGTTTTGGGCAGTAACTATGCTAGATTGATTGCATTTTGCTCAGCATTTTTGGAGGTCACACACTTAATAGGTTTGTAGAGGTATTCTGCTAATAAAGCTGAATTTTGAAGTTTCTAATTTATTGCAAAGTTTTGGACAAATCTTATTTAATCATTAAGTGTGTGTGTATATATAGACAGATTTTTTTTTTTAACCACTGCCTAGTTAAAAATAGAGGCACGTGCTTTGTAGGATGAGCACAGATCAGTCATTTCTCACCCCTCTCAGTTATTTTACTTTTTCTCAGTCTGAAACCTTTGCATTCCCAGAATATCACACTGTACAGAGCTGCATTAGTCAAAACATATTTAAAAATATTCATGTACAAGTTTTTTTCCAACTTTAATTTAGAAACATTCAAAACTAATTGTA